AAGAAAAGAAAACCAAACACCAGCACACTGTTTCCCAATCATACAACCTCTAAATAAATACACTGTGTTCCAAATTATTATGCAAATTATATTTTTATCATTTACCTAAATAATTGATGTAAATAACAGTCAGCATAATTCTCATGTTATCAACTATTAAGAGTACAATTCAAATTTTATTGAACAAACCTCCTAATGATAACAGGATTTAAAAAAAAAAAAACACTTACAATGCACTGTTCTAAATTATTCCGCACAGTAAGTTTCAAAACACTTTATAGGTTGTAAAGAACTGAAAATTGTCATTTATTGTGTTTGCAGCATATTTACTGAAATCAAAAGCTATTTTAATCAAACTTTTCACAACATTTTAACTTTTTAAACATTTGAACAGGTCACGTTACATTTTAACATAGGACCCCTTATTTGACAGCAGCTTTACAAGTCTTGCATCCATTGAACTTGTGAGTTTTTGGACAGTTTCTGCTTGAATTTGTTTGCAAGATGTCAGAATAGCCTCCCAGAGCTGCTGTTTGGATGTAAACTGCCTCCCACCCTCATAGATCTTTTGCTTGAGGATGCTCCCAAGGTTCTCAATAGGATTGAGGTCAGGGGAGGATGGAGGCCACACCATGACGTTCTCTCCTTTTATCCCCATAGCAGCCATTGATGCAGAGGTATTCTTTGCAGCATGAGATGGTGCATTGTCATGCATGAAGATGATTTTATTACGGAAAGCATAGTTCTTCCTTCTGTACCAGGGAAGAAAGTGGTCAGTCATAAACTCCACTTCCTGTATTTTTCTGCCCAATGCAGCCGTTTCTGCTTGTGAGCATTGGTTAGTGGTGGCCGAATAGAAGGTTTATGCAGAGTTGCAAGACTCTGGAGGACTCTACACCTTGATGTCCGTGGGACTCCACAGGCACCAGCAGCTTCAAATATCTGTTTGCTGCTATGTAATGGTATTTTAGCAGCTGCTCTCTTGATCCGATGCATGGATCTGGCAGAAATCTTCCTCAATGTGCCTTCATCTGCACGAACCCATCTGTGCTCTGAATCAGCCACAAAATCTCTTAATAGTGCGATGATCACGCTTAGTTTTCGTGTAACATCGAATGTTTTCATACCTCGTCCAAGGCATTGAACTATTTCACTCTTTTCGGCAGCAGAGAGATCCTTTTTCTTCCCCATATTGCTTGAAAATGGTGCTCTGCTTAATAATGTGGAACTCCCTCCTTTAGTAGTTTTTCCTTAAATTGGGCTCACCGGCCAATCTAATTATCACAGATGTCCGAGATTGTTTTCAGTGATCAAACGAGCCCTGACACACAATGCCATCCATGAGTTAAACTGAAAAACAAAATATTTCATCTTTGTGACACTTAAATAGAATTTGCATAATAATTTGGAACGCGGTGTAGTCATTGTGTAATTAGTGAATATTATCACATAAACAGTATAACAGATGTCAGATGAAATTGTGCAAAATTCCAAAAAATCTTGAAAAGTTCATGAAAGAAAGTTCCGAATCCATGCACTCCAAGAAAATAGTGGAAAACGAGAAGGAGCCCACGGAAAGATGCTGTGTCCCCGGATCTCACCACCATAAAGGGTTATGAGGCTCCTTACCAAATACTTGGATCCCGCAAAGAGATCATGAAGCTCCTTGCTGCCCAGCAGCCAATTTAAACATCAATCACCCAAGATAGAAATCCTTCCACCTTCCTCTCAGTAGACATGGATGGATGATGCAGAGGGATCCGTGAGTGCTCAACCGCTACACAGCCACAGACATCCGTTCAAGGTGTATCCTGTATGTGTTTGAGAGCAGCTTCACAAGAGCCATTGTGCCCTATCTGAATTAGTCTGACTGACTGTAATCATGAGCTATTGATAAGTTGAATCCATCTCCGCAGTCACATATATTCCAGTTTGCCTCACTCTGCCCATCCGCCATTGTCAGGCTGTGTTTACGACGTGCCTTGCCGAGGACATTTCCAATAATGTTCTTCTCTGTTTTCAGTTGCAGTGAGAAGTGTCTTAAGAAAAGCAGTCTGAATGTCTATGAAGATCTCATAGTAGGTCGTGAAGCCTGCTCCCGCCATGTTCCCAGCACTTTCCCCTATCTGGATGATGACATTCCTCTGCTGACGGTGGAAGAGGATGCTGGTAGGTTGACCTACTTAACCTGTGACCAGGGGCGGACTGACAACTTTTTGGAGTTGTGCTCAACAAGAATCTGTGGGCCCAGTGTCAATTCAAATAACTGATCTATTGAAAATTTGTTTACAGTACCTTCAGGGGCAGACTGACAACTCATGGGGCCCCTGGGCAATAGGGGATCATGGGGCCCCTGTATCCTTGCCCAAACTCAAAAAAGCCTATGAAAAAGGTACCAGGGGCATCTCATGGGGCCCCCTACTGACCCCGGCCCTCGGGCAGTGCCCGAGTTTCCAAATGGTCAGTCCGCCCCTGCCTGTGACCTGTTAAATGCTATCTAGGGAACTCTACGGATAAGTCAAATCATTCACCTAACTCAGTCCGGGTATTGTCCAGTCAAGCCAGGTTCAACTGGCTTTTCAGAGTGCTTCTAGGTTGGCGAGCAGACCCTAGACATATGATTCTTTATAGAGTGAGCTCTTTCCCATTGGTCAGTGTTTGCAGATGAGTCTAAATGCCCCAAAAAAGAGCACGGTGCCTCAACCAGGAATGCTGTGGTCTATGACTTTGTGGGTTCAGGGCCCAATGGTCAACAATGGTCTTTTTTTTTGCATATGCCCAGAGGTGACTGGTTCTCTTTAAAGCTGAACTCTAGGATTTTACTTTGCAGTGGCCCTCCTCCCACCACACTGCAAAGGTTAACAGATTATCTAGAAGTCTAGAGGTGGAAGAATAAGCTGTGAAATGTGCCTACTCCTTGCTCCGGCAGGCATCTTCCACACTGTGCACTAGGTCCACCAAAGCCTTCTCCAGTTGGTGGTCGCATTGTCATCATATACAATGTAAGACCAGCAGCCCTGCATTGTACATGATGAAATAGAGGGCTCATTTACAATCATGAGCTTTGGAGAGAAGAGGAGAGTGCCAGAGCCTGCGAAGGTGAGGAATAAGGTATTACAGTTTATTCCTATACCTGTAGATTTAATGAGCATGTAACCCATGCACAGGGGGGGAGGGGGGGCTGCAAGGATTTTTTTCTTTTAAACCCCAAAGTTCAATTTTAAATAGTCACTCCAAACATGCTTGTTATAAGGCAATAAATAAAGGTAATAAATACTATATGCAAAAAAAATTGAGTATCTTACTGTCCTTCTACTGTAGTGGCCATAGTAGTCAACTTCATGGGGTTGATTTACTAAAACCGGAGAGTGCAAAATCTGGATCTGGTGCAGCTCTGCATAGAAACCAATCAGCTTCCAGGTTTTTTTTTGTCAAAGCTTAACTGAACAAGCCGAAGTTATAAGCTGATTGGCTACCATGCACATGTGCATCAGATTTTGCACTCTCCAGTTTTAGTAAATCAACCCCATGAAGTTGACTACTATGGCCACTACAGTAGAAGGACAGTAAGATACTCAATTTTTTTTGCATATAGTATTTGTTACAGCTTATTTAAAAAAAAAAAAAAAAAAAGAAGCAATTCAGTGAAGCTCCAAATCCACCTGTCAATCAAACCCCTGCTCAGTCAGTGACCGCCCCCTGAGAAATTTCAGCTAAGTACCCAAAGGCTGGTCAGGCCTATGCGCCTATGTAGCCTGTGCGCCTATGTATATAGTAGGCATGCTTCATGCATGGTAAATAAATCAAGTTATCCAGCACTTACTAGTATCAATAATCACAGACAGCATTTGTATAGAAAATCATCGAGCGCTTGAAAATCATTCAGCAGCAAAATGCACTAAAAAGGAACCCGTGACCTTCAAAATAGCATATGTAACAAAGGAGTGCAGCGCTATAAAATCATATATACAAATTATAAAGTACATAAAGTGCCCAGTGCATGTGATATCCAAGATTTTATATGTGAATCCTAAAATTATATCAAATAAAATCGAAAAGCATAAAATGAACTTATGTGTGATTAAAAATGATAAATATCAATAAACAATGAATAAAAGTCCCATATAAGTGCGAATAGTCTTTAAATGTGGAATAAAGCACAAGAATTATTCCACATTTAAAGACTATTCGCACTTATATGGGACATTTATTCATTGATTATTGATATTTATCATTTTTAATCACACATAAGTTCTTTTTATGCTTATTGATTTTATTTGATATCATTTTAGGATTCACATATATAAATTCTTCGATTCACATGCACTGGGCACTTTATGTACTTTATCATTTGTATATAAAATAAACACAGACAGATCAGATCTCCCTTCCTTTAGCCCAGCGGTTCTCAACCTGTGGGTCGCGACCCCTTTGGGGGTTGAACAACCCTTTCACATGGGTCTCCTAAGACCATCGGAAAACACATATTTCCGATGGTCTTAGGAACCGAGACACCGCTCCTCTATCAGTCTCCAGGCGGGTCCGCCCACATGCAGATACGTCCACATTTCCCTGGACCGCAATGTGTGCGCGGGATGACATGCCGCCCCTGTCATCTGGCCACATCTCCGTGATCACTCAACAGCTCCGCTGCAACGAAAATAATTTTATGGTTGGGGGTCACCACAACATGAGAAACTGTATTAAAGGGTCGCGGCATTAGGAAGGTTGAGAACCACTGCTTCAGCCCATGGACATATCGTACAGAACCGATGTATAGAATACAATGACAGACATGCATGCAATGATTATTTGTGATGTTGTATTGGACAATAAGAGATCACAGGCTGTTTATACATTTTCTTTCTATTTAAGCGCTGTCTATTATTTACAAATGTGAGCCCGATAAAGCACCTCCCTGTCTGCTCTCTCCAGTGGCCCTGGAGTTCGGTGACGTCCCCCTGGTCTCTGTCCTGCCAGATAACATAGAGCAGAAGATGGACGCTGACCGTACGGATCAGCTCATCAGGTGGCTGCACACCATCCTGCACCACTGCGTCCTGTGGACCACCGTCAAGGGCCGCCATATTACCGTTGGTGAGACGATCTGTCTTTGTCCAATCCAGTGAGATACAGTGACCAGTCCAAACTGGTCTTTCATTGTTTTGAGCTGTAGAACATTGTTTCATGTACATTATATTACTAAAGGAGAATCAAACTCTCTCAAGCAACTATTTTTAATCCTTATGTTGCTAGCCTTAGTAAGTAGATAGGAAGACATATGGGGGTTTATTTACTAAAGCTGGAGAGTCCAAAATCAGACTCCCTTCTGCCTAGAAACCAATCAGCTTCTAACCTCAGCTTGTTCAATGAAGCTTTGGCAATGAAACCTGGAAGCTGATTGGTTTCTATGCAGAAGGGAGTCTGATTTTGGACTCTCCAGCTTTAGTAAATAAACCCCATTATGTTTACTTGTTTTAAAAGTCTTTTAGTTGCTTCATGGTTTCTGGCCTAGGCATAAATTATGTCACATATCCCAGGAGATTTCACAGGTAATTGTTTTTTCTTTCATCTGGAGGAGCGGCTGTTATTCTGCAGGCCTGATCTAAGGGCAGATGGATTCAAACATGCTTGGGACAAGTGGAGATCTATACTCAGACAAAAAAAGTTAACAAAAAAGACCCAAAAACATATATAGCTAAAAAAATTTGGGCAGACTCAATGGACTACTTGGTATTTTCTGTTGTTATCCTTTTACTTATGCTACTCAAGATAGCCGTGGTTAGAAAAACTAGGGGGGGGGGGTTCAAAGTGATTTCTCAGCATGGTAAAGCATGGAGATGTGGATGGACGGGGGAGTTTGCTTTGAATATTAAAAATGAAAGATAGTGTTTTTAGTTTATGGTGCTGCGATACAGTTAAGTTTGGCTTTAAAGGAGATCATCATAAAACATGAAAGGAGCTCTTTCCTACCTCTGCCTCTGAAAATGCTAGTTGCTTGGGAACATTTTGCTTTTCGTCTAGAGGGATTTGAATACGCATTAATTTATAGGGCATTTTGTAGACAGCTGCTTCTAAAGCAAAGCGTAAATGTCATGTTAACCTCCTCCGGGATCCAGCACTGGGTCTCCTCTCCAGCTCACAGCTGCTGACACTTCTGGGTTTTCCCCCAGAGAGCCAGCATCATGACCAGTCAGATGACAGTTCTCCCGATCTGTGTCACGGCCAGTTAGGGGACAGTAAAGCAACTTGTGGCTAAGTGTTTGAGCAAGATGTTTCTATGTTTTACCTGAGTCCTCTGCTGTTGTCCCTGCGACTCTGAGTGATCCCATGTGCACCCCAGTGTCATCTAGTGTCTCTAAGTGACCTACTGTGCACCATATCATCTAGTGTTCTCCAGTGAGGCTATATGATCCAGTTTCTCTAAGTACCTCCATTGCACCCCAGTGTCATCTGAGGGCTCCAAGTGACCTCCACTTCATCCCATGTGTCATCTGATGACTCCAGTTGATTCCCACTGCACTCCAGTGTCATCCAGTGTCTCCAAGTGACCTCCACTGCATGCCTGGTGTCATCTGATGACTCAAGTAACCTCCACAGTTTTGCATCCTTAGTGTCATCTAGTGACTCCAAGTGACCTCCACTGCACCCCAGTGTCATCTGATGACTCCAAGTGACCGCCACTGCACCTCAGTGTCATCTAGTGACTCCAAGTGACATCCACTGCACCTCAGTGTCATCTGATGATTCCAATTGATTCCCACTGCACCCCAGTGTCATCCAGTGTCTCCAAGTGACCTCTACTGCACCCCAGTGTCATCTAGTGACTCCAAGTGACCTCCACTGCACCCCAGTGCCATCTGATGACTCCAAGTGACCTTCACTGCATCCCAGTGTTATCTGATGACTTCAAGTGACCTCCACTACATCCCAGTGTCATCCGATGACTTCAAGTGACCTCCACTGCACCCCAGTGTCATCTAGTGACTCCAAGTGACCTCTACTGCACCTCATCTGTGTCATACCTGATGACTCCCAAATTACCTCTCCACTCCATCCCAGTGTCATCTGATGACTCCAAGTGACCTTCACTGCATCCTAGTGTTATCTGATGACTTCAACTGACCTCCACTACATCCCAGTGTCATCCGATGACTTCAAGTGACCTCCACTGCACCCCAGTGTCATCTAGTGACTCCACGTGACCTCCACTGCATGCCAGTATCATCTAGTGGCTCCAAATGACCTTCACATTATCCCAGTTTCATCCAGTGACATTAAATGACCTCCTGTGGACCTCAGTGTTATCAAATGACTCCAAGTAACCTCCACTGCACCCCAGTGTCATCTAGTTCTCCAGTGAGGCTGTGTCATCCTGTAACATCAAGTGACCTCCTGTGTACCCCAAAGTCATCTAGTAACTCCAAATGATCTCCTGTATACCCCAGTGACATCCAGTGGCTCCAGGGTGCCCCAGTGTTATCTAGTGCTCTCCATTGAGGCTGTATCATCCTGTGACTCCAGGTGACCTCATTTGCAACCCAGCGTCATCTAGTGATTCAAGTGTCACCCTGTGACATTAAGTGACCCCCTTTGCACCCCAGTGTTATCTAATGATTCCAAGTGACTCCTGTGTACCCCAACGTCATCTAGTATCTTTAAGTCATCTCCTGTGTACCCCAGTGTCATCCAGTGGCTCTGAGTCACCTCCTGGGTGCCCCAGTACAATTTAGTGACTCTAGTGCACCTCATGACTCTAGTGAACCCCAGACCATCCTGTTTCATTTTAGTTAATTTTTAATCCCAGACTGTCCTCTGTTCTCCATAACTCCAGCACACTTCAGAGAATCCCGTGCCATCTTGTGACCCCAGTGTACTCTATGACTCCAGTGCTTATCAATTGATTCTTAGTGCTCATGGGGGTCCCCTGTGAAACTTGTGTCACCACAGAGTCTGTCATGTTCCACAGTTGCTTGGCCTGCTATTTCCCCCCCCCCCCCCCCCCCCCCCCCCAGTACCTGCTGCCACATCACAACTCTCAAACACACTCCAGAAATCACCCAGGCTGTCCTTAACTCAAAGGAAAGACCCTTGTCATTAAGTGACCCCTGTGCACCCCTGTGTTATCTAATGATTCCAAGTGACCTCCTGTGTACCCCAAGTCATCTAGTATCTTCAAGTCCATGACAGTAAATATTATTTCATTGGTCCCAGCAGACACCTTAACAGCCATAGTGCCTGCTTGGAGGTGCTAACTGGTTGTAGGCATCATTGACTGCCATAGGCATGTTAAGGTACATGGTGATTAAAAGAAACTCTGGTCTAGTAACTTCTGTTTTAAAGCTTAAATATTATTACTATTTATTTATTTTTTTTCAAATAAAGCGTGGTTTTTATTTCTGTCTGTGTCTCCACTGGAAAGAGCCACCCTCTCTATTTGTCATTGTGCCCATTGTCTACAAGACCAATCCAGAAGTCCAACATTTTACAGTTTTAGAAGAGAACAGGAACAGTGGAGAAATCATCCAATGGGGACACCTATTCCAGTGACAATGGAGGAGATTTCCTCTTACTTTGGAGCAGGGGCGGACTGACAACTCATGGGGCCCCCGGGCAATAGGGGATCATGGGGCCCCTGTGTCCTTGTTCAAACTCAAAAAAGCCTATGAAAAAGGTACCAGGGGCATCTCATGGGGCCCCCTACTGACTGACTCCGGGCCCTCGGGCAGTGCCCGAGTTTCCAAATGGTCAGTCCGCCCCTGCTTTGGAGAGATTTCCTCTCATTTCCTGTTAGGTTTACTGGAGATGAACAGAGGGGAAGGAAGTAGAGAAGTGAAGCGGGAGGGGGTAAAAAATATTTATTCATAATAATGGGAAACATCTCAGTCATTTATCCTATCCTGGTACTTGTTCTGTGTACTGTATATGACTTGGAAGGAACTGCAGTGGCAGCCCCTCCGTAGTTTTCCTAATTATCTAGGATCCACAAAATATTGAAGTAACAGCAGCATTGGTTATATCGATGATTCCAGTTTAGACCATGGAAATATTTGGTTGCTGTGGATGATCTCCCTTTGCGCACTTTATTCAAAAACCCTTCTATCTGCTTCTCATTTCTTCCAGGTTTTTTTGTGGTGGTCCTCATCCTATCTATATCATTTGCGGCACGTCTTCGTCCGGCCAGCCGAGCTCCAGTGCTTTTCAGACCGGATACGAATATTCAGTTACTGCTGGACCTTAAAAACAACCTAAGTGCAGAAGGAATAAGCTGTGTCACCTGTTCAGGTAGGTGTGAATAATGTTCTGTTACTGATTTATTCAATTTTGCTATTACAGTGTAATATGTTTTTTCTGGTGATATGATACGTTGTTGCGTGGTGATACAATTTAACCACTTGACCTCCAGAGGATTTACCTCCCTCCCTGACCAGTCCATTTTTTCCCGATACGGCGCTACGCTACCTCAACTGACAATTGCGCAGCCATGCAACACTGTACATACATGAAATGTATGTCCTTATTTTTCCCCACAAATAGAGCTTTCTTTGATCACCTCTGTGTTTTTTATTTTTTGCACTATAAAAAAAAAAAGACTGCCAATTTTAAAAAAAAAAAAAAAAAAACAATATTTTTGACTTTTTGTTAAAAAACATATCCAGTAAAATTTTTTTTAAAATAAAATCTCTTCATAAATGTAGGCCAAAATGTATTCTGCTACATGTCTTTGCGGAAAAAAAAATCCCAATACGTGTAAATTAATTGTTTTACATGAAAGTTATAGTGTCTACAAATGGCCGTATATAAACTAGAATTTTTATTTTTTTTTTACTAGTATTGGCGGCGATCATCGACTTATTGCGGGACTGCGGCGTGCATTCTGACACTGGGTGGGAACTGACTTGGTGTCACTGACATCCCCACTGACACTAATACAGTGATCAGTGCTAATAAAAAGCACTGACACTGTACTAATGACACTCAACAGGAAGGGGTTAACATCTGGGGCGATCAAAGGGTTAACTGTGTTCTGTGTTATGTTTTACATTATGTTCTGTGTGTGTTTTACTATGTAGAAATAGAAAAAAAACAGCATTTTTGCTTGAACACAATAAGATGATGGAAGTCAGCAGAGCTTCCGCTCATCTACTAAGCTCTGGGGCAACCGCTCTTACAGAGTGCAACTGCACTTTGCAAAGTGCACAGTCTATTTGCCTTTGATTTTCTGTACATATCTAAAGTGTAAATTGTAGTCAAATCACTGGTGTAAAGATTTTAAAATGGCATTTTATGCAGAAGACAGATGGTGTTGAAGGCCCCCCTCCTCAGGTGGTTGTTCCAGTTTGACATAGATGGCCTCTTTCACAATTCTTGTTAACCAGTTGTCCTGGCCTCGAAATATTATCCCTTTTCCTTCAAGTGATACTAAAGGTATTTTTTTTAAATAACAAACATGTTATACTTTTCTGCTCTGTGCAATGCTTTTGCACAGAGCAGTCCCGTTCCTTCTCTTCTTGATTCCCCCACTGGTGTGCCTGGCTCCTCCCCCTGCTGAGTTTCCCCATAATAAGCCATTTGCTATGGGGGCACATGTACATGCTCACTCCCGAGCGGGCTTTGTGTGTCCATGGACACACAGAGTGTTGCTCAGCCCCATCCCCCATTCCCTCCTCATTGGCTGTGATTGACAGCAGCGGGAGCCAATGGCATAGAATGCATGACGGTAAAAGACCTTCAGCCATTAGAACCGATTTAATATTTTCAGGACTACAGAACAAGTTCATTTGAATGTGACTTAGTACTATTAGCTATACTATGACATGGATAAGTGAGAGCCTTCAGAGACATCAATTACTGTAATGTCATAATAAAGTATAATGTGCAGTTGCTCTGTGATATAATGTGCTGTTGTGGTGAGATGTAATTTACTATTAAAATGACACTTGTGACTAATTACATAATTTGCTGTAATGGCATAATAAGGTATCATGTCTGTTGCTGGGTGATGTAATGTGCTGTTGCAGTGCAATATGAATTGCTTATGCAGCATAACACATTATGGTGCATTTGCTGAGATGAGTTACTTCATTTTTTTATCTCATGATAATGTTCTCCTAAAAATGTTCAGTCCAGAGACATAAATATTGCGTAGGAGGGGAATCATTTTTCTCTCTTTTTTCATGACATGCATTTAAAGCCCAATTCCAGATTGGACATCACCCACCCCAGTTTCTGGGCACCCTCCTTTGGATCCCATCCATTTTTTTTTTTTGGAGTATACATTGAGACTCCCCCTCTTGCATCGAGTCCCCCTTACATTTTACATGAGGGTTCCCATCAGAGTCCCCCTTACAGCAGGGTTCCTATTAGAGTTCCCTTTACAGCAGTGTCTCCTTTACCTCAAGTTCCCCATCAACGTCCCCCTTACATCTTACATGAGGGTTCCCATCTGAATCCCTCTTTTAGCTGGGTTCCTATTAGAGCCCCCTTTGCATCAGTGTCCCTTTTACATCAAGGTCCCCATCTGAGTCCCCCTTACATCTTCCATGAGGGTTCCCATCTGAATCCCTCTTTTAGCTGGGTTCCTATTAGAGCCCCCTTTGCATCAGTGTCCCTTTTACATCAAGGTCCCCATCAATGTTCCCCTTACATCTTCCATGAGGGTCCCCATCTGAGTCCCCCTTTCAGCAGGGTTCCTATAAGAGCCCCCTTTACATTAGCATCCCCTTTACACCAGTGTCCTCCTTACATCAAGATTCCCATCAACATCCCACTTACATCTTACATGAGGGTCCCCATCTGAATCCCTCTTTTTGCTGAGTTCCTATTATAGCTCCCTTTACATCAGTGTCCCCTTTACATCTAGGTCCCCATCAACGTCCCCCTTACATCTTACATGAGTGTCCCCCATCTGAGTCTCTCTTTTAGCTAGATTCCTATTAGAGCCCCCTTTACATCAGTGTCTCCTTTATCTTAAGGTCCCCATCAACGTCCCTCTTACATCTTTTTTTTAAAATTTAAATTTAATTTATTTTCCATATATATTGCACATTTCATCATTATTCTCATACAAATTTACATATCTTTTAATAACATTTCTAACTATCTTTATTCCCATTTACTGCCCCCCCTCAATCTAATTTCCCCCCCGCCCGAGTTAAAAAAAAAAAACCCCACCCCCCATATAAACCCCCCCACTCTGCATAATTCGATTATCCCTCTTCATACGCGAATATAGGGTATGTAAATCCTTCTATCTTTCTCACATAGTTACTTCATATATTTCTCCATGTATTCTTCCCATGTTCTCCACCTCTTATAGAACAACCCCATCCTGTCTTCCTGCATGTCCCCTTTACATCAAGGTCCCCATCAACGTCCCCCTTACATCTTACATGAGTGTCCCCATCTGAGTCCCTCTTTTAGCTAGATTCCTATTAAAGCCCCCTTTACATCAGTGTCTCCTTTTATCTTAAGGTCCCCATCAACGTCCCTCTTACATCTTACATGAGTGTCCCCATCTGAGTCCCTCTTTTAGTTGGGTTCCTATTAGAGCCCCTTTACATCAGTGTCTCATTTACCTTAAGGTCCCCTCAACGTCCCCCTTACATCTTACATGAGGGTCCCCATCTGAATCCCTCTTTAGCTGGGTTCCTTTTAGAGCCCCCTTTGCATCAGTGTCTCCTTTACTTTAAGGTCCCCATCAACGCTCCCCTTACATTTTACATCAGTGTCCCCATCTGAGTCCCTCTTTTAGTTGGGTTCCTATTAGAGCCCCTTTATATCAGTGTCTCCTTTACTTTAAGGTCCCCATCAACGCTCCCCTTACACCTTACATCAGTGTCCCCATCTGAGTCCCTCTTTTAGCTGAGTTCCTATTAGAGCTCCCTTTACATCAGTGTCCCCTTTTCATCAAGGTCCCCATCAACATCCCCCTTACATCTTACATGAGGGTCCCCATCTGAGTCCCCCTTTCAGCAGGGTTCCTATAAGAGCCCCCTTTACATTAGCATCCCCTTTACACCAATGTCCTCCTTACATCAGAGTCCCCCCCCCCCCACCTCCTTACATTAGAGTCTACCATTACATTAGTGTCCCTATCAGAGCCTGGAACATATCTTTTTCCTGAGGTCTTCTGGCCAGTTCCATGACACCATTCGTACAGATGGTCATTGTTCTCTGCAGCATTGGGCCCAAGTAAGCTAGATGGAGAAGCCCTAAGGGGTGTGTTCATGACACCCTGGGCACACAGAAAGTGGGTTGAATGTTGCTAAACATCACTCAACCAGAAAGACGGGTGGCATTTGACTTCAAAGTGGCGAGTTTGCCAGGTACAGTGCTGGAAGGAAGGTGTGGATTGCAGTGGGAGTTACTTTTTTAATTTCACCAGTGCTGGGCCATTTTTGATTATTTTAACTAGAGTTGCCCTTTAAAAGCCTTACTTTCTTGTGAATCATTATTTTATCTCACAAAACAATAGCTGAATTCACTAAGTTACAGTGCATGTGTTATTTGCAGCCTGGCTTATGCCGCCAATGCAGGCTTTTGCAGTGACATTATGGCAAGCAGGGCCGTCTTAGCCAAACACCATATTTTTAGAAGGAGGCTCACAGTAAGGATATGGATATATATATATATATATATATATATATATATATGTATATATATATTTATTATTATTATATTTTTTTTTTTGTGCACAATGTCTCTTATTACATACATGCTACATTTACAATTGACTACATTCTGAGAGACGACCTTCCCCTTTCACCAAACAATCTCTCTGACCCATTCCGGGGAAGGTTATCTCTCTAGAGCCTGTCAATATTACATTCACTTAGCCCGTTTAATGCCATAATAGAGGTGCTGAGACGCAATCGGTCTGCACTGAAATAGCCTTGACATTTAATTTAGATGGAAAAAATGAAACCTACAACAGTTTCTAATTAAATATATGCTATGGGTTGACCTTCTTGTAGGGTAAGGCAGAAGCTTCAGCGTTGAAGAGTACCTGTCAGGCATATATGGCCACGAAAGCCATTTTGTGGCTCCTAGAGAGTTCAATGATGTGTAATAATTGCCAATTTTTAAGAGTGACATTTAACTACGATGCATTTAAAGCCCAACTCCTGGGAATTTTTGTTTTAATAATAAGGCCACCAGCCAGCTGAAAAAAATAAAAAAGCAGTTCAGGTGGCAATTTAGAGTTTTCCCTTCAGTACTTCTTTGAAGCCCAGCATCATTCAACCTGAAATATTGAGGACATACTATGCATGTAGGATTCAGAA